AGTTCACGCTGGACGGGTCTAATGGGTTAGACTTCTACAACGTGAGCTTGGTTGACGGGTACAACAGTCCAATGCTGGTGGTGCCTCAAGGTGGGACCGGAGGGAATTGTACAACCATGGGATGCATGATGGACTTGAACGGCGCGTGTCCGTCGGAGCTGAAGGTGACGAGTACAGAGGGAGAGAGCGTGGCGTGTAAGAGCGCGTGTGATGCGTTCAGGCAAGACGAGTATTGTTGTAAAGGCGCGTATGGAGCACCGAACACGTGCAAGGCGTCTTCGTAGACAGTGTTGGAGGAGAAAGAGGATCGGTTATGGCAACACTTGCCAAACACAGCCCAAAAAGAGTGACTGTGAGTTTCAAATGATGAGAGAGAGACATGTTTTTGTTCTTGTTTTTGTTGCGAATCAACAAGAGAGACCTGGATCTGCAAAGTCTGTTGGGCGGCAGTGACAGAGGAGCGATGGTGGTGGCTCAGGGCAGAGAGAGACAGTGCTCCAATAACGAGAGAGAGACAGTGCTGGATCTACAAAGTCTGTTGGGCGGCAGTGATAGAGGAGCGATGGTGGTGGCTCCGTGCAGAAAGAGAGAGAGAGACAGTGCTCCGATAACAAGGGCTGAGGTCCGGCGGGCGGCTAAGGCAAGGCTACCGCCCGCCGGTGAAGCGAAATTATGAGATTCTTATCCTAGCTCTGATACCATGTTTGAATACTGTATAGAGAGAACAAATACTGTATTCATTGATATTCAGTTATTTACAAGGAACAAATCACTCTCATTTATAGAGAGGAAAGGTGGTACATAAGATGCTAACTAACACCGAAAGCAGTATACAACAATATCATTATTGGGACAGCTAGATATTGCACCTATATTACACTAACAATACTATATTACACTAATATTACACTAACAAACAAAATGAGCTCCGATCCAAACACATAGCAACTCCAAGAAAGCAAGTGAAGTCCACCGAGTGTTGAGTCTGAGTCTGAGTCTGGAGTGTCTGGTAATTGGAATGGGGATTAACAGAGAGAAGAGAAGCTACATCCCCTTGTGCCCATCTCAGAGCCACCTACCACAATTGCTTTAACGGGTGGTATTCAGAGAAGTTTGTCAAGGGTCATTGGGATAAACAGGAGTGTGTTTCTGAGTGGCAAAAATACAGAAATTGTCTCTTACAACATCAATATATACACAATTTATTCTCTCTCTTTCTCTATACATTATTCTAACATGGTATCAGTGAGTCATGTGCTTCCTATGGTGGAACCAGTTCTTGCACCACCCTCTTCTACTAGGACTATAGAACCGAATGTCACCAAGGATAAGGAAGGGCATGTTTATGTCCGGGACATAGACAGACAGAAAGTTAACTGGATACAAGGGATCACTTCTGCTCCTCCACTGCCATCTCCTGCTTCTGATGAAAGTCTAGGTAACTTTGAATCTCTTGAGTCCATTGATCCTGATGTTCCTATTGCCAAGAGGAAGGGTGTGAAATCTTGTACTCAACATCCTATCTCACATTTTGTGTCCTACTCTCATTTGGCATCCTCATATAGAGCGTTTGTGTCAAATATTTCCTCTGTTAGCATTCCTAACCATTTTCAGGATGCTCCTGCTACCTCTAAGTAGAAACTAGGCATGATTGAGGAAATGAAAACACTTAGGAAGAATGGCACTTGGGAATTGACTGAGTTACCTACGGGCAAACAACCTATGGGATGTAAATGGTTGTATACTGTGAAACACAAAGCAGATGGTTCTATTGAGCGTTACAAGGCAAGACTTGTGGCAAAAGGGTTTACTCAGATATATGGCATTGATTATCAGGAGACCTTCGCACCCGTGGCTAAGATGAATTCATTCAAAGTACTTCTCTCTCTAGCAGCTAATCTAGATTGGCCGCTTTATCAGTTTGAGGTCAAGAATGCCTTTTTCCATGGTGACCTCGAAGAAGAGGTATATATGGACATTCCTCCTAGCTTTAAGGATCATCAGACAGAAGGCAAAGTATGCAAGCTTCGGAAGTCATTATTTGGTCTCAATCAGTCTCCAAGGGCTTGGTTTGAAAGATTCAATCAGGCTATGCTTAAATATGGCTTCAAACAGAGTCAGGCAGATCACACCTTGTTTGTGAAACATTCCTCACATGGTAAGACTACAGCACTTATTATTTATGTAGATGACATAGTTCTTACGAGCAATGATAGTGGGGAAATACCTCTGTTGAAAAAATATTTAGCTAGTGAGTTAGAAATCAAAGACTTGGGAAACTTGAAGTATTTTCTGGGAATTGAAGTTGCTCGCTCCAAGGATGGGATATTTATCTCACAAAGAAAATATGTGCTTGACCTGTTGAAGGAAACTAGGATGCTTGGCTGCAAGGCATGTGACACTCCACTAGAACCCAATCAGAAATTAGGAGATAATGAAGGAGGAGCAGTTGTTGATAGGGGGAGCTATCAACGATTAGTGGGTAAGCTCATTTACCTATCTCACTCCCATTCTGATATTGCTTTTGCTATCAGTGTGGGTAAGCTCAGTTACCTATCTCACTCCCGTCCTGATATTGCTTTTGTTGTCAGTGTTGTTAGTCAGTTTATGGATGCCCCTCATCAGATTCACTTCGAGACTGTCATGAGAATCTTGAGGTACTTGAAGTATGCTCCTGATAAAGGTCTTTATTTTTCAAAGTATGATCATCTTCGTGTGGAGGCCTATACAGATGCTGACTAGGCTGAATCAGAAACTGATAGGAGATTGACTTCAGGATATTGCACCTTTGTTGGAGGCAACCTAGTTACTTGGAGGAGTAAGAAATAGAATGTTGTTACCAAGTCAAGTGCAGAAGCTGAGTTTAGAGCTATGGCACAAGGGGTGTGTGAGCTTTTATGGATCAAGTTATTGTTGAGTGATTTAGGTATTGATCAGACGGACTCCATGCGGTTATACTGTGACAATAAGGCCGCCATCAACATCGCTCACAATCCAGTTCAACATGACAGGACAAAACATGTTGAGATTGATCGCCACTTCATTAAGGAGAAACTCACTAGTGGTACCATTTGTACTCTTTTTGTCCAGTCTAGTGAACAACTTGCTAACATTCTCACCAATGGGGTTGGAAATAAGCCATTTCATGACATATTAGGCAAGCTGAGCATGAGAGATATCTTCGCACCAGCTTGAGGGAAAGTGTTAGCATATTATATTATCGTATTACTATCTGAGTTATTAGTTTGTAATTATTCTATGCCTCAAGACTCCCTTATAATTTTTACAAACTTTAATCTTCATTAATATAAATAAGGGATGATATCCTAATCAAACCCTAAGCTGGTTACTCCCTAAAATCATCAGGTTCATAGTCAATAGCATCCACAACATAAACGATAAAAAAGCAAGAAACACAAATGAGTACATACATGCTTTCAACACCACCACAATCAGTTACATGTCTAGCAAAAACAACAATTACAAAATTATGGATTGGGGTATGTCAAACATGATGTATTGATGCTTCATAGTCAATAGCATCCACAACACAAATCATAAAAAAACAAGAGAACCGCAATGGGTTCTATTTCATGAAGATGCAAAATTGTGTGCTTTATGACCAAGTTGATTATATTGTGGAAGATCAGTTCCAAAAACCAAGGATGTCAATAGTAGATGTGAAATTTAGAGGTAGAGAAGTCAAGACATCCCAAATATGTTAAGTAAGAATTAGGAAGCAAAACATATTCACAAACCATCAATAAAGAAGATCTTTGAACAGAACTGAATGACGCAGTCAAATATGCTCCCAAGCAGCATGTTTTACTTCATAAAGCAAATAGTGTACAAGAGATTACTTGGTTTCTACTAAAAGGCAAAGAGAAAATGTCTTTTGTGGTGTATAACGTACTTCAATGCATAATAGCATTATGAAACTTAAATTGGATGTAAGCACATGTAATGCACTTTCATTGATAGAAAAGAAAAAATTGATAAGGGTTTCCAATCATCTGTTGCAAGAAAAAACCCAGATTAAAATGACTCATGTTCATGGATTGCACCTATTTTTTGAGCTCTTAAAAAAATGTTTTTGATTATTTGAAAAACCAAAAATGATAAATCCTAATTGGGAGGTGAAAAACCATATGTGAGGGGGGAAAAAATTTTAATATCTTCATTGAATGATAACACACTTGGTTTGTTTTGGCAACTCAACTAAAAGCCACTTTTTGACTTTTTGGCTTTTCTAAATCACATCACCTTCTCTATTTTTTTACACGTTTTTTAAAAAAAAGTCAAAAAATTAGTTTTTACCTATCTTTTCAAAATAATCCAAAATGTCATATTCAAATCATAATCATTTCATTTTTTCTTTCATAAAAATTAAAAAAATTAAAAAATTAACTCAAATAAACTTTTTAACTTAATCTAAAATAGATAAAAAGTCAAAAATCAACCCAACTTCCTAAATGAAGCCAGAGTTTATAAATTGACGTTGATGCTGATTTGTTTTTGTTATTCAATTTTACCAAAAAAAAAAAAAAAAAAAAGAAAAATCACGATATCCATTAAAAAAGCACAAGACAACATAACTCTATGAATCAAAAAGCAAACCCAAAGTTAATAATCAAAATGTAAAATGTCAACCAAATATTGCAAAATGATAAAATATACAAACATAGAACACATATACATATATAAATATGTACATAAACATATTCCATTTAAAGATTAACAATATGGACACCAAACCCAATTTCAGAAAAGGAAAATGGAACCAGAAGAGAGAATGTATAGCACGATCAATTGAACCTTTAACATTCTCACTCAGAATAAATAGACCCATTTTTTGAAAAAGGGAAAAAGAACTTGAAATCAAAGAAATCCCAAACATACATTTCACATTTAGATAATACATGTGTGTGTGGATATATATATATATATAGATAGAGAGAGAGAGAGAGAGAGAGAGAGAGAGAGAAAGGGAAGAGAGAGACCTATAATGGCATCAAGGTGGAGATAAGATAATGAAGTGCCGAAGCTTGGTTTTGCAATTGGAATGGGCAACATTACCACTGAATTATTCAACAAATAATACCTAGAAAAATAAGTACACATAGTTGAAAAGGAGATCTTACAGTCAATCTCTGGTTGTTTGGGATTCTTTGAAACCCTAAATGCAAACAGAGGGCATGGAGAGAACTTGATAAAGAAAGAGGAGAAAGAAAGAGAGACCTGACACTGTGTTTGGATTGAGTGATTTGGAGAGAAAAGAAAAGAAATAGAGAGAAATGTATTTCTTTTTTTTATTTGGTTATCTTAAGTGGAGAGAAATAGGGAGAAATAGAGAGAAATGGAGAGAAATTCATTTCTCTCATAACCCTTATTTTCAATCTTCCCAAAAGTGGAGAGATTGGGAGAGAAAAGAAATCCACAAATGTTTATATTTTCATAATACTAATTTTACCCCTGTAAAAATAAAAGAAATAAAATGATTGAAAATATAAAAAGGTTATTTTGGTAATATAACATAAAATAATTTCTTTTCTTTTCTCTTAATTAAATCTAACCAAACAAGAAGGAGAGAAATCACAATCATTTATTTTCTTTTATTTCTTACTTATCCAAACAAAAAGGAGAGAAATTACAATCATTTCTTTTCTTTTCTTTTCTCTTATTACTTAAGTAATCATTTCTTTTCTTTTCTCTCCTAAGTTACCAAACATAGCGTAAGAGAAACAGAGACAAGAGCCTTCGCAGGGCGTCGCCGCCGGCGTGTTTCAGATCAACACGGCCCTTGCCTCCTTCCAACGCCTTCTTCATTCCCTCGGAACCCCCAAGGACACCCTTCTTCTCCGCCAAAAGCTGTCTGTCTTCTCTCTCTCTCTCTCTCACTCTCGCTTTTATTGTTTTTGTTTCTGTGCTTTCCAGTATTACTTTTTTTTTTTTTTGGAGGGGGACCTGCTATTTTTATATTTTAACTAAAAAATATTTTGGGAATTTTTTTAATATTTTTTATGAGTTTGGAATATAATTTTGGATTGTGTCTTTAGTTATGAGTTATAAATTTTTTAATCAAATATCATATGTCACAACACTCAATTCAAAACTCATAATCAAATAAATTTTCCACACTCAAATCATAATTTCAAAATTTACAAACTCAAAATATAACTCTATTCTCAAATCATAATTCTAAAATTCTACCGAGCGCAATCAAAGTTTGTCAAATTAATTGGCCCAAACAACAAAAGAAACTACAGATGAAAAGCTCCATCACATCCACTAGAACACACCGACGAAATAAAGGTCAAGTTTGACATGATTGAAAAAAGATAAAAAGTCAAAAAGTCACTATCCTATTTAAGTCACATCATCTTATTTAAGTCGCATCACTTCTCTAACACATCACTTCAAATCCAACCCAAACTCAACCCATATTTCATAAAAAGTCAAAAAATATACTTATTTAATCAGAAAGAAAGCATACCAAACCGGAAAGAAAAAACCAGTCAGCAAAATAAAAAAAAAAAGACAACAAGCAATACGTTAAACAGAGTCATTATCACCCTGCAGTTACCATCATTACTAATACCCACTGAATTTCCCAAATTACCCCCAAATTTCCATGAATACCGAATACCCCAATCTCAAAGAAAAGATAATAGTATTAAAGTGATGGGAAAAATTGACGTTTTAACAACTAGAAAATACTGCTCATACAATGGCTGAAAACACTTTTCACTTCTTATTTATGCTTTATATATATACTAGTGAGTTGGCCGCGCGCATGGCACACCAGCTAATACCCATCATTTAAAACAAAAAAACTTAATTTATAGAAATAAGAGAAGAAAATAAAATCAAATAACCTAGAAAAAGTGAAACCTAATCTACATAGAAATAATGTCTGCATAACTTCTGAGTAGTTTCAAATTTATCCCATCTAATATGAACAAAGCTACACTTTTGAACCTGAACCAGTCACTGACTGTATGCATTCCACAGTATTGCTTGATTTATACTATACTGTTTAAAATGCAATTTAAAAGCTTACAACAATGGCTGTTTGGACACGATTAAACAACACAGCAACCACGATGATTAAATAGATGAACATCAAACAACTAAACATATTGGTATTCATAAAATAAATAAATAAGAGCTCATGACAACGGATGGTCAAAAGTAAGCCTTTCTTAACCATTTGTGGACTTGTAATCCTTCATTTTACCTTGCCAAGTTCAAGAACCACTCTTCAGTCAATGTAAAGAGCTTTCCAAGAACCTTTGAAAAGAAGTAGGATTCCCCTTACAATTTTCCATGAGCATTATAGTTTTCTGAGTTACATAAGAACAAGGTTTAAAAATGCGGTGTTACGTGGCCATTACGTAACGGTTTCGGTGGTAGGCACTACACGTTACCCCCGATTTTGCGGTGTGATTGAAATTCACAGGTGTATCGGCCGTTACGGCCGTCGTAGCGGTCGTAACGGTGATGTAACGGCCGTAACGGCTCATTACATCTGAACACACATAAAAAAGTTATAAATAATTAACAAAGAACATAATAATATCTATAATGTCAGACAATCAAACCACAGAACAATGCTTAAAAATCACATAGCTCTTCAAAAGTGAAATAAATAAAAAAGTAAAAATAATAAATGCTACAAAATTCAACACTTGAACAAATGAAAAACAAAATAGGAGCAAAGTTTTGACCTCAAAGCTCTTTTTTAAATTTTTTAAATTGTTTTATTCTTTAGATAATCAGAAGGGATTGTAGCAACCCCCCTTGAGAAGAAATTTGTGACCGCAAAATATCCAAGTAGGTTGATTTTTGGCTTTGGATAATTTTCAAAGTAAAACTTGTAGTCCTTTATCTCTATAAGGCAGGAGCATGCAGAAAATTAGAAAGCTTCTCACCTCATGGAAGAGACATCACAAGTATATTACTTAGGCAAGACTGCAATAAATTATGGGAGTTTTTCCACACATTTCTCACATTATGAAGGTACATAATATGCTGAAAATGTAAAAATAGCTTTAAAATTGAAAGAGATAATTAGGGACCTAGGCACAGACCATTGTTTTTTCCATCCTCTTGGGTTTGGCAGGTAAATAGTCTTCTTGTTCTTCTTGCTCTTCTTGTTCTTTCATAATTTGCTTTTTCGATGCTACTGACAAATAGTTTTAGGCAAATAAAAGTTACATTTGAGAAATTATAATATACAAATTAGAACAAGACAGAAACTTAAGAGTAGTGATGAAAAACATGGTGACTGGACATCATCTGTAATAACAAGTATCAGTCAAATATTAATTCTTTAATATGATCTGTTCACCTAATCATTACAACATACATTACATGTTTTCTGAAAAAATATTAGATAGGGATGCCTTTTCAAGTGCACTGAAGTAATATGTTGATTTTTTATTTTTATTTATTTATTTATTTTAAATAATAGCATATGATAATGTGCATAATCCAATAAGTACATTGAATTACAAAGAGAGAAATCATACACAAACAAAAAAATTCATACAGAATGATGTGATTCAATGTAAACCGTTCACTTTAAAACAAAATACCCACAAAGATAACATTTATTTACCAAAATCGCATTGCCACACCATTCTTGTGATATTTTTTATATGAATAGCATTTTCTTACAAAAATTTATTATAGACATTTTTTTTTAATTCTCTTCTTGTCCAATCATAATATGGTTAAACAAGTTCGAGAACAAAAATGTTTCATAAATTAATAAGAATTTCGGTAAAAGGTTGTTATTAATACAATAAAATTAATGTCATTGTATAAACAATGCCCTATGGTGAAAAGTTATTTTAAGTAATTACCAGATTCATTTTTAAAACAGATTGCTTAACTAACATAAATTAATTGGGGAAGTAAAAATATTTTCATAACTATCACTAACTAATGTTTCCAAGTATCACTCTTCGTGGAGCTATAAGTGCCTGACACAAACACAACTTCATTTGAATATATAAATTCTTTCAATAAACAACACTTATACAAAGGTTAAACTAAATAAACAAAATCCCTATTGAAGGCGGAGAAGAAAATAGTAGTTTTGATTAGCCTATAATACATTAAAGGAAAAATAAACATTTTAAAATCAACTTAACAAGAAAAGAGGTTCGACCCAGATATTATCAGATATTATAATCTAAGTGATTAAGATTAATTCAGAATTAAATATTATAATTGTTTTTGGAGACGCTTATAGATCTGTTCATCTTTGATTTTTCTTTTTAGGGTAGAAATTCTTTGACTATAATTAATAATTGATTGACCGGAAGCAAGTGACAATAGTAAACTTAGACGAGGTAATTCTTCTTGTAAATCAGAAATATATTGAAAGCTATCATTAATTTCAATACGTAATTCAGAAATTAAAAGCATAATCAAATATCACACTTACATTAAAATAGGAAATTCAAGATTACAAGATAAAGGAAAAGCTTACAGAGGATTACAATCGTGGAGACAGATTGGACAGAGCATCCAACAATCATGGAAGGTCTCTTTCTCATGCTTAAAACAGAACTAAAATCAATATATATGGGACTCTCGACTCACCATTTTCAATTAGATTACAACAATATATAATATAACAAGAAATCAAAGCAAAAGAGCAAAATAAGTAAGAAATGCAAGAATTTGAAATAAATTGAAAATTCACCTTTTCAAGAAATGATGAACTTCATGATTTCTAAGCTTACTTTTGATCACCCTCAAGTGTATAAATTATGTTCTCAATCCTCAATTTGAAAGCTTGGAATTCTTACCAGAATGATGGCTTGGAGGTGTATGTGGTGAAAAGTGATTACCTATCTTATTTTTGTTCACTTTTACCAACACCTACTCTTCCTCCGGATCAAAGCTATTGAAATTCAAGTATTTCAAAATTTTTGGAGGAGTTTTGAGTGTAGAAAAGATGAAATTTCAATTTGTATGGAAGGTATGGAGTGTATATGGAAGACATAAGTGTTTTTAGCTCAAAAACTCAATTTTTCTCTCTTTTTTCACTCTTTTCTCTAGCTCAAATATGTTCTCTCCTTAGTCTATCACCTTGCTCCTCTCAACAAAATGATGTATACATATAGGCTAACCAAGTAGAGAAATGGTGGAAAACAAGATAGAGTATGAAGGAAGATAATGAAGCTAATGGGAGACAAAAGTGGAGCCTTATCTCCAATGGATCAAGCACTAGATAATGGAGGCTAAATGTATGCATTTGGTGATGAATATATCCGAAAATGGGTCAATGGGGTGTCCCAACCGAACCAAAACCAAACAAAAAAACACGGGTCTATTGCTGTCTCGGACCGGGTCAACAAAATCTGCTCGTAAGTCCGACTTCAAACGGGCATATCTCCCTTATTCGGACTCGATTTTAAGTGATTTTTGAGTCTAAATTGAAACCCCAGAAGTTTACTTTCCAATGGTGGTGGCCTCACATCTAAATTCCAAGTGTACAAAGAGATATGCCTAATTTAGTGAAGGCTGTTCATTTCTTTCTTAACGATCTAATGCTCATCCTTTTCTTCAACCAGTTTTTTTATATTCCCTCCTATTTCTTTCAACTACAAACCTATAAAGATGTTTTTAAATATTTTTCAAAGAGTTCACCTCCCTTCCATTTATTTCCACTTTGTCCTTACTCGGTTTACTGAAAAGTGCAATATTTTAATCGAAATGGAAGCCTCGGAACATTGTAGAAACATTTGGAAAAATATTTTGAAAAGAGGGTTTTAAGGTCTAAAATAGTTTGGCCAAAATAGGGTATCATCTTCACTCCTTGAAGCTCTTGAAAACTCTACCCCAGCCTTGGCAGAATTTCCAAAAGAAATTATTACCCGCTGGCAATCAAATGCGATAGTATAAGGGAACTCCAAATCGAGCCACAGAGGTGGTATGTCGTCTCAGCTACTTGTTTTGCTTTTTTAGTGCACTAATTTCTACTCGAATGTCTTTGTACATACGTTGAAGTCAGGAGAGTTGCACTGACAGTTATACTCTTCAAACGTCCTGTTCTGCAGTCGACGAGACAAGTTAGAGACCACAGTCACGGTCTCCACACATGACCTCAACGTATACAAGTTAGCCTCGATGTCTGACTATGCTTCCATTATTTTCTTAACTGACAACCTCGGAAAGCTGAGAACAGGGGAAGGAGGAGGAGCGCACGGTTGAGGATCAAAGAAGCCAGAATTGGTTATCTCCATCATAGACTTGTTAAGGTCTAGAAAGAGAGTGAGAGAACCACGGGAAGAGGCCATGTTCGAGGAAAGTGATGCAAAAGAAAAGGGTTGCAAGAGTGGTGGCAGAGAGAGTTCGCAGCTTTTTGCTCTGTCTCCCTCACAAGCCTTGGTTTAAGCAGAGAACGATGAAGGAGAAAAAGACAAGAGGGAGAGAGAGCCGAGGCGATCATTGATGAATCAGGGTAGTTGGTTGTCGGCTGGCTGACGCAAATGTCAAAGCCGCGTGTCAGGCGCGACATTCGAAGGGAGAGAGACAAAAACAAGGGAGGGGAGAGAGACACATATATATGTATATCTGCTTGTATATACTTTGTATGTGTATGTATATTGATGTATATGTATACTTTTGTTGTGTATATTGATGCCTTTGTACATCATTTAAACCCGGTTAAAACCTTCCCTCTCTCCGTATGAAATACGTTGAGATACATCTGTTGGTTACACCATTGTTATTCTCCTCAGTTAAAACCTTCCCGTATGAAATACGTTGAGATACGCCTGTTGGTTACACCATTGATGTTTACCTAGTTAAAACATTCCCCCTCTTTGTATGAGATACGGTTAGGTATGTCTGTTGGTTACACCATTATACCTCCTCCAGCGTGAAACGCGTTTAGATCTCAGGGTCACTATTTCTCCTCTTACGCGAGATGTGTTTAGATTTTGAATTCACATTTCTTCTATCAACTAAGTTGTAACACATTTAATGTAATGATATGGCACATTTGTATGCGATGCACTCTCTCTATTATTTTGTGTTATGGCACATTTACATGCGTTATACCCTCAGTTATGCTTTATTTCATTTGCATGAGGCTTGTCTCATATGTTACTATCTTCATATCTTTATCATTACTCCATGACATTGCATCCTATTATATAATCATGAATTTTCAAAACAACCGACTACGCGAAGCTTGTGAGTCCAACTTTCAAATTGTATGCTAAGCATGTCATTTGCATTCTGTCCCTAAACTATGCTGGTTTGATTGAGATACGTAGGCAAACTTCAGGTTCAACCACTTGCATTGCATCTTGTTTGTTTACCCAAGCCTTACGGCCTTGTCAAAAGGGTCGTCTTCGGACTTTGACATTCACTTACATCATGAAATGACTCCGAGCTCTGTCAAAGAGGGACAACTGTAGACACCTCATTTTGACCGGCCTTAAGACTTGGACGCTTTCTTTTGATCACCCTATGATGAAAAACTAGAAGGTGTTTCTCATGAAATCCTCAACAAGAAAAATGAAATTTGGTTTTCTCTCAAAAACCTTTCGCCCCATTTTGGCCAAATTATTTTAGACCTTAAAACTCTCTTTTCAAAATATTTTCCAAATGTTTCTACGATATTCCGAAACTCCCATTTCGATTAAAATATTGCACTTTTCAGTAAACCGAATAAGGACAAAGTGGAAATAAATGGAAGAGAGGTGAACTCTTTGAAAAATATTTAAAAACATCTTCTTTATAGGTTTGTAGTTAAAAGAAATAGGAAGGGATGGAAAAAAACTGGTTTAAAAAAAGGATGAGCATCAAATCGTTAAGAAATAAATGAACAGCCTTCACTAAATTAGGCATATCTCTTTTCACACTTGAAATTTAGATATGAGGCCATCACCATTGAAAAGTAGACTTCTGTGGCTTCAATTTAGACTCAAGAATCACCTAAAACCAAATCCAGATAAAGGAGATATGCCCGTTTGAAGTAAGACTTACGAGCAGATTTTGTTGACCCAGCCCCGAGACAGTAGCAGACACGTGTCTTTTGGTTTTGGTTTTGGTTCGGCTAGGACACCCCATTAATCCATTTTCTGATATATTCATCACCAAATGCATATATACTCAGCCTTCATTATCTAGTGCTTGATCCATTGGAGATAAGGCTCCACTTTTGTCTCTCATTAGCTCCGTTAGTGCTCCATTGGCTCCATTATCTTCCTTTATACTCTATCTTGTCTTCCACCATTTCTCCGCTTGCTTAACCTTATATGTATAGGTCAGATTGTTGAGAGGAGTAAAAGGATAAATTAAGGAGAGAACATTTGAGCTAGAGAAAAGAGAGAAAAGTTGAGTTTTTGAGCTAAAAACACTCATATCTTCCATATACATCCCATGCCTTCCATACAAAACTAAAATTCCATCTTTTCTACACCCAAAACTCCTCCAAAAATTTTGAAATACTTAAATTTCAGTAGCTTTGATCAAGAGGAAGAGTGGGTGTTGGTAAAATTGAATAAAAACAAGAAAGATAATCACTTTTCACTACATACACCTCCAAGCCATCATTCTAGCAAGAATTCTAATTTTTCAAATTAAGGATTGAAAACATAATTCATACACTTGAGGGTGATGAAAAGAAAGTTTAGAAATCATGAAGTTCATCCTTTCTTAAAAATGTGAATTTTCAATTTATTTCATTTTCTTATTTCTTACTTATTTTACTCTTTTGCTTTGTTTTCTTGTTATATTATATATTGTTGTAATATAATTGAAAGTGGTGAATTGAGAATCCCATATATAATGTTTTTAGTTCTGTTTTAAGCATGAGAAAGAGACTTTTCATGCTTAATGGTTTAATCTCTTGGGAGGTTCATTACCAAGACATTACGGGTATGTTTGGTTTGGTTTTGGGAGAGTAGTTTTTAAAAATTGTTTTGAGGAGAGAGTTTAGAAATTTTTTTTGTTTGGTTGGTTGTGTATTTTGAAAGTAGTTTTGGAGTTTGGGAGTTTGAAATGATTTGATATTTTGTTATAGTTAAGTAGATGTGTGTAAGACAAAAAGTGATTGAGAATGAGAGAGGAGAGATAAAAAGTGATTGATTGATAGGTAAAAGAGAGAGTGATTTTGGAAATTGTTTTGAAAAATTTACAAACCAAATAAATTTTTTAGAAATTTTTTTCCAAAATCACTCTACAAATCCAAACCAAAAATACCCTACATCTCTCTCATGCCAAGAACAAACTTCTTGTTTGACGCTTCTCTTTATTAGTGGATGTAATTATCACTTTTGGACAAAATGATTAAAGAATGGAAAGGTAATAAAAAGGGCTAATAAAATTAGACTAAAAGAAACACAAGATAATAAAATTGAGTTGGGTTCAATCAGACGTCATATTGAACCCATTGCATTTCTTACTTATTTTGCTCTGATTTCTTGTCATATTATATATCGTTGTAATCTAATTGTAAGTGGTGAGTTGAGACTCCCATATATATTCGTTTTTAGTTCTGTTTTTATTGTGGAAATCTAAGAAAACAGAGTTTGGCCGAGCCTATCAAGCTACCCAACCCGTTAGTTGGCTGGGTAGCCACCTAAAAGTACACCATCGGGCCTGCAACCTTCATGACCATGCCTGCGACCTCTAGGCAAAACTGGGCAGCCTTCCAACGTTGAGAAGATCAACCTCTGATGGTCTTTGAGGCGCTTAAAGCTGCTATTTTGTTATGTTTATTTTATTGAGTGTTTGTGAGGATTTTTATATTGTGTTGTAATATTTATTTATCTCCCTCGAATTTGTAATATTTAAAATGCTGTAACAATTCCCTATCCCCACTTCTTATCTATCCCATTCATTAATCATTTTCCCTAACTGTACATATATATATATATATATATATCTTACATGCCATGCATATCCATACTTTTACATACATGATTCATGCCTAGATTCGGCTAAATTTGCGTCTTTGCGCTTTAATTGATTATTACATGATTTTATGCGCTATCGCATGTTTTGCAATATTTTACATATCATGTTTTAGAAGCCGGATCTTTAGAAGCATTCTTGTGTATGTATTGCATTAGGATTTTGTATATAGGATCATGCATATTTTAATAATTTTGCTTTGTAGCTGTTCATGGGACGTTGGTAAATATATAAGTTGTTATCCTTTAGCATCCTACCATGTGGCTATTTGCTTACTTGATATAACTGTATAAATGCCAATGGATAGAGGTTGTGTCGCTTAATTTGGAATGATATTGATTTTTTTCATGTTTGTAAACTCAATTTATTTAGATCATACATCTTTAAAACTCTTTCAAAACTACATGAAATCAAATTGTTTCAAAGTGTCTATACTTGTATGCTTCACATAGTAATTTTTTTTAAGATTTATTAAATAATCGGAATATGAGCACATAAAGGAAATAAAAATCATATCATGATTAGTAAAGATCGATATTTTGATCGGGTGAGCGGGGATGCTCAATTAATGACCTTCCCCCTTCATACCTAAGGTTTCGAGCCAAGCATCCTTGGCTACGACGAACAGTGGCCTTGGCACGAGTCACAGGTTTCCTAATTTTTCCAAAATAAATATTAGGTGGCGACTCTAAGATCTGATGACGCAGTTCATTTCTGGCAAATGTTTTTGCAATAAAATGGATTTTTTAAAAGTTGCCAAATGTGGACTCTCGACTACGTTTCACATTGCACTCGTGAGACTAGATCAAAGAGACCGAGGGTCTGAACTGTTTAACGGCACGAGTACCCCCCAAGCATGTTACAATTTCTGGCGACTCTGCTGGAGATTCTATGAAACCTTGACTCGAACTCTATGATATGACTTTTATTTTCAATTATATGTTTATTGCATTGCATGCATTGGTGCACTTAAAGTCCCTATGTTGCCCAAATAGTGGTGGGAACACAGACACACTTTTTGTGACACTACACCTCTCTACGTTACTTTGGAGGCTTTGTGTTATAACCTTTTAAGATCTGTCAAAAAGGTAGCTCTGCTATCTAAGCTTTGCTATCTAAGGTTTTCAGACTTCGAAGAGAGGCTATATTGACTCTTCTGATTTCCTGGGATCTTTATTGGTTATAACCCAAAGGACTCTTTGGTAATGTCACCTCGACTTCAACTCCTAAAGTAGAGCCAACCTTGTACATATAGCAAGCTATAGAACCTTTCAAAATTAGGACAGGATGCTCTCCATTTCTAAGTTGTATGATACTGTTTGTTTGAATAATGAAACCCTAGATCATTTCAAAGCTAGGATAGGATAATCCTACCCCCTCATAAGGGGTTTTGACTCTCTTTACCTAGTATGTGCTTTATAGTGAAACTGTACAGGAATGTTAATATCAGTGGCACAGTTGGTATCAGTTTGTGGGGCAGAATTCAGTGTGGAGTACAGTCCTACAGCTTTGATCATATCTGTTCTGATGGAATCTTAGCCGAGGCGCAGTCCGATTTCTGATTGTTGCTTTTTCTTTATTTCTTTTGAAAGGTAGTCTAAAACCATAGCTTCAGAAAGTTCTGATATCCCTCGAATACTCTGAACCAATTTCTGATTGTTGCTTTTTCTTTATTTCTTTTGGAAGGTATGATATCCTCCGAACACTCTGAACCAATTTCTAATTGTTGCTTTTTCTTTATTTCTTTTGGAAGGTATGATATCCCCCGAATACTCTGAACCAATTTCTGATTGTTGCTTTTTCTTTATTTCTTTTGGAAGGTAGTCAAAAACCATAGCTTCAGAAAGTTCTGATATCTCCCGAATACTTTGGACCCGTGTTGGAAGACTTTGTAAGGTTGGAGATCTTGTTCAAGGACAGCCAGCGCTTGCCTCACTGTCACCAGTTGCAAGGCGAAGAAGGATCAGCTCACCTACACTCAGTTCACCTCGAACACAATCACCTACTCATAGAATGGCTCAATATCTCTCATCAAACCTAGAGGACTTAATAATCCGTCTGCAGTAATCAGTTGACTCCCTCCAACAAGACATGACCCGCCAAGTTGAGGTCACGACTAGGTTGCAACAACAAAAGCATCAGCCATCTACGGGTTTTGCTTCGTATGCACCTAATGTGACTATCCCATTCCCATACCAAGCACTGCTGCCAATGCTGCTACAGCTCAGGATCTACAAGCCGAGGGAGTTCCGGCTTTTCCCATCCAAGCAGACCTAATCCCAGCACAGACATCTAAAGCCCCAAGTGTACCAGACTGAGGCACCTTTTGAATTCGAGGTTGACCCGACCATCCTCAAAGTCAACAAGCTGGAAAAACTGTTCAAAAAGGCACAGGGGGTCAAATCCATTCCGGATATAAAGGATGGGTATATTGAATCTACAGTTTCTTTGTCAGAGCGATTCAAAATGCTGCATATTAATCGCTTCGACAGTGCCAGAGACCCAATGGTACATCTTCGTCTATTTTCTGATATCTTGCGACCAATAGGTTTGATCAGACTGCAAAAGTTGTCGCTCTTTGGCCAAACCATGTCGGGTATAACGACCATCTGGTATGCTAAGTAGGAGGACTCTGTGAAGTAGAACTGGAACAAATTAGCCGAGTCTTTCATTGCTCAATACTCCTATAATACGCAGATCGAGGTCACAACTCATGGTCTTGAAGCAACGCATTAGGAACCAAAGGAGGGTTTCTTAGAATTTGCAACTAGGTGGACGGCCAAGGCATCGATGATGACCACCCAGCCCTCAGAGAAAGACCAAATCATAATAGTTGTTCGCAACCTTCATGGCAAGCTGCTACAAAAAATGATTGTCCTCCCCTTATTTACCTTCGAGGAACTTCATGAAATAGGGGTTCAGATCGAAGATGCAATGAAGCAGGGGATTATCATTGATGACAGAACCGGCCAAGAGGCCGTTTTTTCGCAGTTCCAATGCTGCCGGGGGTACCACAACTGCGAGGCCGTCAGAAATGAGTGTTGTCACCATAACCAAAACTGCCGATCCATTTGCCAACGTGGGCCCACAAACTTCCAACCCTACCCAACCTTTGGGTAGAACTTTTAACCAACTCTACATGACCCTATTCAAAGCCATGTAGGTGCTAATCAATAAGAGGCACTTGAAACCCCTAGAACCTCGACCACTTCCCAACCCTCTTCCACCAAAACACAAGCTTTCCATCAACAGCACGGTCATGAAACCGACCGGTGCTTCCGCTTGCATTATGAGATTCAAGATCTCATCGACAACAAAGTAATAATTCCACCCTAAAAGCCATATGTGACCACCAACCCACTCCCCGTCCATAACCAAGTCTCCCCGCCCAGAAATATCCACCTCATCCATTTATCATCCCCTTCCACCTACCAAAGCTAGTAGTGTTCATCCGTGATAGCATAGACCTATGCATGATGAACACATCCAACCCACAACCTGAGCCTCACAAATCTGTGGTGACAACATCTAAAGAAGAGGAGGTTTTGACCTTAGAGGGAGGTGCCGGTCTATCGTTGGGAATTCCTAGGGAATCATCTGAGAGGGAGTATGACCCAAGCCACTACATTGTTCCCATTACTCAAACCAAGCCTGAGGTAGTACTGCCGACCTCAGTGAACATTAATATGGTTAGGGAAGACGACCTAAACCAATGATTGGATGATCTTACAGATCTGGAAGAAGATTTAGACAACCTATAATTCTTTGTGGAATAGGACCAAAGCAATGTGCAGAATGGTTGATTTGATCTGAGCCTGTCGACTGACAACAAGGGATAGCTGGGTGATGAGTCCGACAAAGAAGAGGAAACCGAAGTTAAACTGGAGGAAACAAAGGTCATGGCAGTTGCGATAGCTGAAGAAGTCAAGGGAAAAGAGAAAGTGCCAGAGGGCAGTAGTACGGAAAAACAAACCTAAGAGTTGGGTGTTGTTAGAATTGTAGACACCAAACTGGAAGCTATACTGGAACAATTTGAACAAGAGAGGATCGAAAATAGTCGGAAGACTGTAATATCTTGTCGCCCTGAGGGGGATAATTGTATTGTGAAAGTGATACAAGTTGAGCCAAACAATTGTCTATCAGCAGCCGAAGGTCAGTGATGGAACGATAGCGATTTGCATCTTGCCCACACAGACGAAGAGTACCATATCCCGGATAGTCCCTGGTATGCGAAGGAAATAGAGGTATTTCAAACCTCTACATTTGAATCAAGCCAAACCCTCAAGAAAAGACAGAGAAGTTGAGAAGGAAAAGGAGAAGGAGAAGGAGAAGGAGCTGGAGGAGGAGCTGGTCCTGAAACAACTCAAAAAGATTCAGGCTGACATATCCATTTGGGGCCTTCTTATGGCTTCGCGAGTACACCGACAAGCAGTATTGTCGGCAATGGATAAAGTTAAATTGTCCATTGATATTAAGCCAGAGCAATTCGTTGGCCTGATCTTCCCATGTAAAACCAAGCCTATGCTCACCTTCTCTGATAAAGAGCTACGTCGGAAGGATTTGCTTCATGGGTTTGCTTTTGCTTGCAGGAGTCACATGGGAATTTACTTTTTTGTGAATTATTGAGTTTCTTTGTCAGGGCAATATAAAAGGGGCGTTTGGTACAGCTGTTAAAACAGATTATAGCTTATAACTTAATAGATTATAGATTATAGATTTAATCAGAAGCTGCTAACCTGTTTGGTATAACTGTTAGATTATAGATTTAAGTTGTTGAGTAGTGTTTGTTTAATAAGCTGTAAAATAACTTTTTGTTATGTAATGTCCTTTTTACCCTTATTAGATATAAAAATTGTTAACCTATTTCATTTTCTTCATTTTTTTTATTACATGCCAATAAATATAAAAATTGTGATTTATTTTTTCATTATGCACAATATCAATTAATTAAAAATTGTGATTATTTTTTTTCATTATAATACAAATTATAATATAAAATTTGTTAATTTTTAAAATTTATTATTAATCCATTACAATTAATATTGATGATACAGTCCGTCCCGTGTGGATGGGTCAGGCTAGCCCAGGTTCTTCAGGTTCCGGTTTCGGGTGGTGATTCCGTCAAATGACCTGCAAGCAAGTCCAAAGGGGAACGGGGCAGTCCCCCAGTGAACCCTCCGGCGAGAGAATTAGTAGAGGAAAAACAGGAAAATGTAGGGAAGAAGATGGAGAGATAAAAAGCTTAACCTTATTCTTGTGCTTCTCTTGTTGCTTATATCCTTTGGTAATCATTTCACTGTCCTTTGTGACGTGCCCCCTTTCCGCCGAAAGCCTGTGCCGTAGCTTACCTTGTTCAGGGTGAGGGGGCTCTGTTCCGACGGGGAGGTGTTGTCGTAATAAATGCTGTGATGGGCTGCATTAATGGTGATGTGTTGTGGCAATATTGTTAACTTTTTTTAATTTAATAATTCATCACAAATACCAAACCTTACCGCCGATAGCCCTAGCTACCGCCGGCCACGCCGTTCTTCTCCTCCTCATCCCACACTCCAGCAGCCCTTTGCAATCGTTGATCGTGAAGAGAGAGAGAGAGAGAGAGAGAAGCTTGTCGTTGATCGCGATCACGAAGAGAGAGAGACAGCGTTGATCGCGATCGCGACGCCGGAGAAGAGAAGAAGGATTTCAGGTCACGACGCCGGAGAGGAAGGGAAGAAGGGTTTCAGATCGCGACGTCGAAGAGGAGAAGAAGAAGGGTTTCATCGTCACGTCGTCGATCGCCACTCGCAATGGTTTCAGATCGCGATGGGTTTCATAGTACAGCTAGAAAACAACGTCGGAGAGAGAGAGAGAGAGAGGGATCTGGTTCATACGTCGAAAATCGCCTGCGTCGCCGAAAATCGCCTTTGTCTCTCTCTCTCAGAGAGAATGAACAGTGATTTTGTGGTTTATATAGTGGCAATTTGGTAATACTTCAAATTATTGAAGGGCATTTAAGTAATTTCGATACCCCTCCGCATAATCCAATTACGGAAGCTACTCCAAGCCGCTTCTGATTTTCGACTTTTTATGTAAGAAAAAAATCTATAGAAGCTCAAGTGGTTGGCCTTAAGCTCAACCAAACAGTCGGTAGTAGCTTTTCAGAAGCCAAAAGCTATAACCTGCTCAAATTAAGCCAGACCAAACACCCCCAAAGAGAATCTTGCTTTTGAATTGTCAATTTGCAAAATGACATGTGATCATAAATTATTGAGGTCAATTTCTTGACAGGTATCTGAATAATCTTCGTCCAAGTCTTGGGTTGGAATCCGTGTAGGGGAAGGTTTGGGGATTCTATTAGGGAGACTGTTGGTGGCCTTGCTTTAGTGATAATTAGGGGAAGAGTTTCTAATACAACATCGTCATCAGAATCAGATAAGGATTCTGCTTCAGCTATAAGAATCATTTTCATTTTAATTGTTTTTTTATATTTATGTTCAAATTCATGTTTTTAGAGATTGGGCTTATTTATCCTTTAATGCAATTTGCTTATGCTTTTTGTAGTATTAACGGAGTTGATCGGGATAATGCTCTTGAGGAATACTGCAGTTTTTCCACCACTTCATGGCGATTTGCCTGGTGAGATGTTTTGGGTGTTTGGGAAGTTGCTATTTTAGTAGGTTATTTTAGTTTTTTTCTATTTTAGTTGGCTCAAATTTTTGTGTTTGGGAAGATAGTTTGATTTTTTTTATAGTTCGATGTGATGTTTGTGAGAGAAAAAATGAAATGATTATGGATTTGACGTGACATTTTGTCTTATTGGCTATTTTAATCTATTTTGTCTTTTTGTGAATTTTAGTCCAAAAAGCCCCAAAAAAGCCTTTGCCAAACACCCCCATTGAGTATTATGGTGGAAGGAAGTGGTATATTGCCATGCCATAATCCATGGGACCTTAAAATCAATAACAAAGTAGAGGAATTCGGGAAATAGAGGTTCAACCTCAGACCAATAAATATGATAGGAGTCTTGCAGAGCATCAGGTAGAGCAGCAAATTGGAGGCCAAATTGATGCCACCAGGTTTCAAACCATGTAGGGATATCTCCGGTAGTGACAGTAAAGTTGGGTCCAAATCAGATCCACCAGGAGTG